CCGTGAGTGCCGGAGTCCGACGGAGCGCGGCCTGTCCCCGGACGGGCACCGCTGGGCTCCTCGCCTTCCTCCTCACAGCCGTTCCCTCGGCACGCTTCCCGGGAGAGGGGAATCCCTCGGGGGAACTTGCACCTGGGGCCTTTCGGAGTCCTTCGGGCTTGTCGAGGCGCTAGCGGCTGTGGGAACACAACGCGCTAGCGGCTGTGTAACCCCATCTGTCTGTGCCTGGTGTTGCAGGGCGAGGGAGCGTGTTCGCTATGCCAACCTCATGTACGACAGGAGAGTGGTGCGCGGGAACACTTACGCCCTTCAGGCCATACCTGCGGTATGGGGCTTTTCTCTGCATCGTGCTACAGCTTTGTTGAAAAGTTATGAAGTTATGGGGCGAGAAAGCTGTTCTTCATTAATAATTGTAACTGCTCAAGTTTGTAATTTCTCTTAGATATTTCACACAGGCACGGGCTCTCCAGTTAAACTAGCAAAACTTACTGTTTTCAGATTTTCTTTAAAGTCCTTAGTTTCACGTGAACTTCTGTAGTTCTGATTGTTTTTCCCAGTTAAGTACTTGATAATTTTTTTCCTTATTTCTTTAGTGTAATGATCCTGAGCACAAGTCCTTACTGCATGATCTGTTGTCATATGCAAGGTCTCATCAGCGAGAACAGCAGCTCTTGGGAAATTTAAGTCTTGGGGTAGACTTTGGCTTATCCTACTAGACAAGCAGACCTAAATGGTCCAGCTATATGCAAAAGCTGCTTGTGTGGAGGCAAAAGTATTCTATTTATCCCGACACAGTAGTAAATATTTTAGTGATACTTTATTATAGCCCCATGTTGTTCAGTAGCTGTTTCTTAGAGTGAATTTCACCTATGTTCTGCTTAAGAAGCTTGAAACTGATGTTCATTTCAATCCATAAACAGAGTACCGCATTAAAAAGTTAGTATGGGTTTCTTTTGCTTCATCAGCAATAAAGAACCTATAATTTTTATCTAGCAAGCAATTTTGTTGATAATATGATAACTGAAGTGCATTTGACCTTCTTAGAGCTTTACCTAGTAACTCTCACTTGTCAGCAAGAACATGCCATTTTAATATACTTATGTCACAAAGCAACGTTCTGAATACAATATCCACTTCTTAGTGTGAGGTGTCATTAGTATGTGCCTGTAGGCAGCTAGCATACCTTATTAGTTTCATGCCCTACAGTTTTTAAGGTAACTGAAAAATTACAGTCAAGACCAAGAAAAGTAAATCCGAAATGCTAGATTTGTAGTATTAAAATCAAACAACATTCATTTTCCTGTGGAGGGAAATTATTATAATTTTCAAGTACAAAGTGTATTCTGTTTTGTGGTTATTTTTCTTCTTCACCCCTGCTCAGACTACCCAACCTGATCCCCTTGAGATTCAAAAGCAGAGGGAAGCATGGAAAAAAGCACTAGCCAGAAAGCGTGCAAAAGAGCAAATACAACTGAGAACACCTGAGCCTGTGGAAGGCAGAGAGCACGTTCATGTGCAGACAGGTAAAAGGCTGGGGTTTTTTCCAAATTAATCTGAAAACAAAAACTTGCTGATCTATATTCACTAACTAAATTGATGATGCAGTTGGTAGAATCACACAGGGTAGAGGTTAGAATCATAGATGTCTTCCTCTATTCTTTCCGTTCCCGGTATCATCAGAGAAGTTTGGTATATGCTTAAAATTGAGAGGTTTTAAAAATTTTGCTCAAGAGTGCAGTCACATGCAAGAATAAAACTACTATTAAAAATCGGGGGACACACCCTATTTTAGAATTTCTCCTGTTTGTGAGAAAACAATTTTATTTGTAGGAAAACCAAAATTTGGCAGTGGAGTAATCATGAGGTGAGTGTAATGTGTTGCTGTGGCCGCTGAAAATCATTTCATAGCGTACTGACTTACAAAGTGGGAAAACAGCTGTGTTACATGCTAACCAGACATGGTCTTTGGTTTTTGAACATTCCCTCTGCCCCAGCCCCGCTGAACCCCTTACAGCACCTCCAATGCACACAGCAGCTTCTCACTATTCAAATACTGTTGGACACACAAGAAGGCTATCTAGTGTGGAAGTCTTGGTCTCGTGTCCTTCCCACTGACTACTGCAGATAATTTTAAGTACTCCACAGACCTTATTTTCTGAGCCAGGCTATTTATCTCTGCAGTAGGAGACAGAGAGTTATAATTCAAATCAAGCACATGCTGTTATAGATGTGTGGTTATCTCAAGGTCACTTCTGGTGGGGCCAAAAGTAGAATATCATTCTTTAAACACAACAGATTCAGTGTTCTGTTTAGCTGCATAAAACAGAGAAAAATTTATGTTCTCTATATTACTTGTTAGTAGACAGACAATCATTATCACTTTTTGAAATTGTCATGTCCTGTTGACTCTACCAAGAATTGTTTATTCTGCAAAGTGGGCTGAAATGGTCTGGACTCTGACTTTTGAAACCTACTAAGTGAAATGCCCCTTTAGAAATTACTTGCAATGAGTGCACCTGACATTACAAAGAATGTGGCATCAGATGGCCTATCAGCGAACTGATCTATGTTTTAAGTTGAGGTGTCTTTTTTTAAAAAAACTTTATGGAAGACATTTTCTTGCACTCTTTGGATATAATTCACTCTGTAGAGTCATCAAAAATAGATGAGAGTTAAAAAGAATCCAATTTTCATCACTTGTTGTGCTTTTCTTTCTAGAACTGTATTTGGAAGAGATTAGTGACCGGATAATAGAGATTGATACAGAGTGTCAAACAGATGCATTTTTGGACAGACCACCTACTCCGTTCTTCATACCGGCCAAAACAGGAAAAGATGTGGCCACACAAATAGAAGAAGGAGAGGTATGAAGCAAAGTCAGGTCCACAAGTGCTGTCAAAACATGTCTCCCATGCAAAACACATTTATGATATAAAATTGAGGCAGAAACAGAAAGGAACTTAGGCTCACAGAACATGCCCCCTCCCCCAGAAAAAAAGTCTCCAATGTCTGCTTTGAGGTTAAGTGCAAAATTAAGGAAGGTGCTTCTCCATGTGCGCTGGTTCTGCTGCTTTCAGTTAAGAACTACATTGGTGAGAAATGCTGTCCCTTGCAGAAGTTGTCCAACCTGAGATAGGGTTGGGAACATAGAAACAGGGTCCAGGTGAGTGTTCCGTTCTCCCCTGCAGCCCCTGCAATGGCTGTGGTGTGGTGTGTGGTGTCTCACTCCAGCCCACTTATCACTTAGGCCCCAGCTACATTCGTGCTTCTTGCCTTAGCTCACACTGGCCCCCAGCTGCACTTTTCAGCCCTGCCTTCAGCACAAGGGCTTTGTTCATACTCCTTTTCTCCTTGCCATGGTGTTAAGAGCGATTGTGATCAAAGGTCATTTATCTCTCTCTCCCTGACTCCCATCCTCAGTTGTTTGACTTTGATGTTGAAGTCAAGCCGATCCTGGAAGTGTTGATTGGGAAAACAGTTGAGCAAGCTTTGCTGGAAGTCATGGAAGAAGAAGAGCTGGCCCAGCTATGGGCACGTCAGCGTGCCTATGCAGAGCTGCGTAACGCAGAGCTTGCAGAAGTACAGCGCCTGGAAGAGCAGGACAGGCGATACAGAGAGGAGAAGGTAGGACTTACTAAGAGCAAAACAGGCCTGTCTGAATGCTCATCAGGAAAGGGAAAACCATTTCCAGTACTGAAAGACACCCTGTGAAATCAGCTGGATGTGCCCAAAAGGGTACTGTCAAGTTTGATATTCCTCAAAGCATTTTGGTGCCATATAGCTGTACTCTGCTATTTGCTGTCATGCCGCACCTTGCTGTTGTGTTTATTTGGAGCAGTCATGGTCCAGTAACCTGGTGTACTCACACACCTGAGGACAAACCCAACAGCATTTTCCTCTGTACCTGGTGGAGCTGTTACTCAAGCCTTTTCCTTATAACTGCTAAATGAATAGTCAGTGCTTGAAAGTAGGAGAGACACCCCCTAGTCTTTCAAACACAGTGCACGCACTACCGTGTATGCACACATACCTCTCAAGATCTCCGAGTATTAAGCTATAGTAGTACTATCTAGGAAATAGGAATAAACAGAAAAAGCAAGTCTTAATTACTCACTATTCATCAACCTTATATAATTGGAGTTTTTAATGTTTTCCTGAACCACTTTGAGTTTTAATCTTTTCTTATATCAAATAAGATATAATATTGTAAAGATTGAAAGTTCAGGAAATCCTGACCCAAATTCATCTCATTCCAAGGCCAACAATCAGCTTGATCTGCAATAATAAAGCAAAGAGTCATGAGATCAACACATACTGAGGTATCAGAGAAGGGTTTCATTTTGCCAGCTGCGAGGCCCTTACTTTACAGACTTGCCAAAATCAGAAAAGGTATACCAAAGGAACATGTTTCCCTCTAGTCCTTGAATTTTAGTACTCCATAGACTGAGTACAAGCTTGCTTTCAAGCACTCTTTCATATGAGGAGTTTTTCTGAAAGTTAGAGGCCACAAATACCAGGTAGAGACCGTAAGTATCCGTACTTTTGATTATCTTTGCAATTTATGACTCTCACACTGTGATCATTCTTCAAAGTCTAGATCAAAGGAATAACAGCTAAAGGCCTGAAAGTTTTATATGCAATATTGCCTTGACAGCAACGTCGCAAACTCCAGCACAAACAAATGCTGCAGAAACAGAAAGAGACCACAGAGAAAATTGCAGCTCGGGCATTTGCTCAGCGTTACTTAGCCGATCTCATTCCCTCTGTCTTCAACAATCTTCATGAGAGTGGATTTTTTTATGACCCTATAGAAAGAGGTTTGTATGTTTTTTATTATTATGTGAACTGAGTAATATAAAGGTCAAACCAACTGTAAAACATAGCTTATTGGCCTATTATTTAGAATAATGTCGTAAGACTTTAGTCATCTACATTTGTGGCTAAACAGTTTCCAAACTCGTATTTTTAACACAAAGAAGCATTATTGGTCATCTATACTAGTAGTCAAGAATAAGCAAGATCTGACAGTGTGACAATGGGAAGAGCTGCTTTTGAATTGGAGAGAAATAAATGCATGGTTAGGATTGGTAAAGCAGAGAGAGAGAGATCCAAATTGAACTGAATGTATTTTGATAGGACAGGCAAAGAAACCTGTACGTCATTCTGAATCTTTTAATGATCATCAGGGCAAGGGAAAAATTAGTCGATTAGAAGCAGGCCCTAAAAATAATTTCAGAGTTGTACATTGGTGGCTTTTAGAATCAGCGGCATTTCTTATGGGCTAGCTTGCTGCACCCCACTTCCCCAGGCCCCACACAGGTGCACAGAGCACAGCTTGGGAATGGTTACACACTCTTCAGAATGAGTCACGGAGCAAATGCAGAAGCTGAGTGTATTTTGCAAACAGGGTAGGCTTTGGGACCATGGCATACAAAGAGCATGATTTGAGAAATACATGGGTAAGCAAGAGCTCTTTAGTCAGAGGGAATAAATGCTTTCAGCAAGCCAGAAGCCTGATGTCTTTGAAAAGCAAGGCAGGAAATGTTATTCTCCTGACTTGTTCAGGATAGTTCTTTTCATCTCACTAGGACATTACTGTGTATCTCATCTGTGCTAGCCCTTCGAGGGTGCCAGACCCCTTTGAAAATCACTGCAGTTGAGAGGACTCTGGTCTGGGTCCATAATGATGAGCCTCAGTAAGAGTGGCAGGAGATAAGAAACCAAACAACACCTGAGAGATTTCATCTGGCGCCTGCAAAGCAAGTGTCTTTTGGCAGGGATGTTCATCCCTTAATGATTGTAGCAAATGAAAACCAGCCCCAAGATCCTGTTGCTCATCCTTAATAAAAAGAAATTTTTTCTTTCTTTCTTCCTGATAAATTCTTACAGATATTGAGACAGAATTCCTTCCGTGGCTGATGACAGAAGTGGAAGAAACACTAGAGAGGAAGGTTCTGGGGAGGACAATGCTTGACTGTAAGTTACCAAATCCCAGAATGTAATCTGGGTGCTTGGTGTTCTTGATTGTTTTTTCCCCCGTCAGAACAAATATCACATTTACAGGGTCGCTGTGGGTTAAGGTAGGAGGTGTCACTTTAGCAAGAACTCCAAGTACCCATGGCTTGTTGTGGTTTGTTTTTTTTACTATATTAAAACATTTACAGTGTTGGAAAACTACTACTACATACATCTAGGTAATTAATTTTCAGCTGAACTAACAGAAGTGTCAGTCATGCTGCACTGTCCTCTCTACTGGCTTTAAACTGTTTGAGATGTGTTGATGCTGGGGGATGCAATACATTTGGCAGGAGTAAAATCGTTAAAGAACACCAATTCTTTTCTCTGCTGTAAAACTTTTCTTTCTCATGTGTTACACAGCCATCGTTGCTGTGCTGTTCTCTGTAGTGTGCCTGATTGTGCCAGTGGGAGCAGAAAAGCCCATCCTGTCTACAGCCACATATCATAGAATCATAGAATTGTTTGGGTTGGAAAGGACCTTAAAGATCATCTAGTTCCAACCCCCCTGCCCCAGGCAGGGACACCTTCCACGAGCCCAGGTTGCTCAAATTCTCATCCAGCCTGGCCTTGAACACCTCCAGGGATGGGGCATCCACAACTTTTCTGGGCAACCTGTACCAATGTCTAAACACCCTCACAGTGTACCACAAAAGTCTCTTAACTTGTTTGTGTAAGCTCCCTGAGCTATGGAGCTCCTAATATTCATTCTGCGTTAAAGGAGAAGAGGATCATAAGCCATGGCTGACTGAGAAGTCAGGTCACCAACACTTCTCATCAAAACAAAGGCTTACCTCCTCAGCAGTCAATAATCATGTTCTTGTTTTTGAAATAGTTTAAAATATCAGTCTTCTTTTGGGCTAAGCTAAATATTCAATTGTTGTTTTTGTTTTTTTTTTTTAAGTCAGTCTTCAGACGCTGTAGTTTAAGTACCTGAACAATCTAAACTCTGTCTTGTATAGAAACACAAAATTGTTATGAATGTGTGTCCACTGTGATGGTCCTAGGTCAAACCACATTTTATGCCTGCATTACATCTTTCATGCCTATGGTTCTCCTCCTGCTGTGATTTTGAGTTTGAATTACAATTGTGTTTGCTTCCTTTGGGTTTATTTTCAGTTTAACCAGGATCCTTTGTTAGGGTATTAATTTGATAATTACAGCTGGTCTGTTAGGCATTTTATCCTATGATACATGTGCCCGAATGTGCACTCAAGGATCACTTCTTCATGTAGCTTTTCAGGAGGGAGGGAATTTTCTCTTAAGAAGGAAGTATTGTATGTGACTACTGAATAAACATCCCAAGGAGAATGTTGCTGCAGGATACAGTATTGATGAGAACATTTTTTATATTCCTGTTAAATCTTTCTGTTTAATTTTTTAACCAGATATAATGGCCTTGCACCAGTTCTAACATACACAGAGCACCTAGAGCAGGCCAATGAATAATATCAGCAGCCCGTTTTGCTATTTACCCTTTTTGTTTCCTAGCTTATACCCCATCACCCACTGTTGAGTAAATATAATCTCTGCAAAAGGAACTGCAAATTGCATTCTCCAAGTTTTGTAGAGACAGACACAGCCTCAGCTGAGATAGTTTGTGGCTTCTTTCCCCCCTTAATGCAGAAGCATAGGAAAACTCTCTAAGGATCCATTTTTAACCTTTTTGAATGAAGATACTACTTAAAGGATTTATTTTGTTACTGTCCAATGAAAGAGCTGTAAACTACAAAGGAAGCACCTTCAGTGTAAGGCAGTTATGTTTGTCCTCTCAGACATAACCATTCCTTCTTTTACTTGCTAAAGTCAACCCATGAATTAACAGTGAAGCTCTTTTTAGTACCTGTACATTGTTGTATTTCCTGTGTTACACCTCTCTTCTTTCATTGTTGGCCTGTATTTTCCATATTTAAATAATGTATATCAAAGTGAGTGTTGATTTTTTTTTTATTGTGTCCATTGGAAGGGGTATAATGTTTAGAAAAATTTACAAAGGCTAAGCAGCAAAAATAATAAAGAATAGATGGTTTACAGCTGGTTTTCAGAAAGAGAAAATCTTCTGATGACTCCCATAGTTCCAGTATTTCCCACTGACAAAAACATCACGCTGTGATGGCTAGTCCTTCTTCCTGGCAGGGTGACCTGCTCTGGAAGTGAAGAACAACTGTGAGAAAGTGAACAAAACAATGCAGATGAACCCTTTAAAATCACCGCTTTCATTGGAAACCACTTATTTGGTTGGAACAAGGCTACAGCAGTTTGGAATGTTTTTTCTCATTCAAGTATTCTTTAATTTTTAGTGTCATTTCAGGGGATTTTTTTCCCTCTTCAGGAAGTTATAGGTCAGTAATGTATAAAATAATCTCAAATTACAGGGATTTTCGCTCCATGTTTGTTAATGGTGGCTTTCTCTTTCAGCCTTGATTCGTACAGTGGTTGAAAAACGCTTAGATGCATTTAGCTATAAACCTCCATCTGATCAGACAGAAGCACCTGCTGAAGAGCCCAGGCCAACAGGTGCAGCACCCCAGGTGGCTGGTGAGACAGAGGCTGCTGACCAGCCTGTCACAGAGAAAGAAGAAACTGACCGGCCTGTTGCTGAGGAAGAGACTGACCAGCCTGTGGCTGAGGAACAGCCTTCACGTCGCGTCTCTTTCCAGTTAGAAGAATCTGATCAAGCGGGAACACAAGAGGATTTGGAAACTGAGTAACAAGCAGGCAAGTCATCAAGTAAATGGAGATGAATGGCTTAGTAAGAAGAAATTAATTCCTATCTATTTACAAGTATTGTGTCCTAGCCGTGCTGAAGGATGAGTCTGAGCAACAGTAGAGCATTAAAGTGTGTTTGCTGACATTGCTGATTTCAGGCTGTAAGAATCAAGAGAGAGGTTACTAGTGCAATGAATGGCAGTGAAATTCTGGCAGTGAAATTCTATCCCCGGATACACAAGAGACTCTGGTTTAGATATTGAAGTCAGTGGGAAGTTTACCTCAATTCAGTAAGACCAAGATTTTGCATTGTTGGTGTTTTTTTGTTTTTTGTTTTTTGTTTTTTTTCCTGTGATGATGGAGACTTCTGTCACAACTTCAGGTAAATTACTTCAGGCTAATTTTATCTAGAGAAATAAAAAGGCTTTGTGACATGATTTATGAGAATTGTAAATGTTTCAGATCATTTTTGGAACACTGTATGTCAGTTTTAAGGATTCCTCATTACTGAATGATTGTTTTGTCGGTATTTACAGGAGACGTAGCATAACCTAGAGAACTTCCATGGATCATTCCCATAAAGATTGAAATACAGACTTGAATATTTAGTTTTGGAATATTACAATATGAAGGTGATCACTTGGACTATTTTAGTTAAACAGCCCTATACTTGAATTTGGCCCCAACATGGGCAGGTTGGCAGAGGAGGGGACCCCTGGCATCCCGTTGGTCACTGGAGAAGCAGAAAGCCATGAGCAACAGTAAGGAAGGGAGGAGGGATTTTGGATAATGGCATAGTTGTCACCTGTTTGGGGTGATGCCAGCAGGCATGCAGGCTGTGCATGACGCAGGGGGCTGGCATGCAGGGGGCTGGCATGCAGGTGGCTGGGGGAGCCACTCCAGCCGATCCCCAGTGTGGGCACCATATCCCGCAAACCACCTCCCCAAGGGGACCCTTCTGGCTGCCCTTCCCCTCCAAATCCCCTTTCCTGGCTCTGGGGAGGCCTGGGGTTTCCACTCTCACTCCAGCACCCCTTGAGTGTGTGTGCAAGGGGAGAGGAGAGGGAACTGAGGCACTGCAGGCACTAGAGGGCAGGACAGCTCACAGCAATCCGGCTGCGGAGACACGCAGAAAGACACTGATGTCGCCTGTTGCACATTGCACACTAGTGACACTGCAAACTAGTGACACCTGTCTAGACTTTCCTCCTCCGATAAACCCCAAAGGCATCGACCTTTTGCAAAATCTCCTCATAATATGAGAAAATAACATGTAGGGTCACCCAAGATAGTCCACACTAAGATCGTAGAATCACAGAATGGTTTGTGTTGGAAGGGACCTTTAAAGATCATCTAGTCCAAACCCCCTGCCATGGACAGAGACATCTTTCACTAGAACAGGTTGCTCAAAGCCCTGTCTAAGCTGACCTTGAACACCTCCAGGGCTGGGACATCCACAACTTCTCTGAGCATTGAGGGTTTCAAGGCTTTCTGGCTGCAGCTGCTGAGTGTTTCCACACCATGTCTCAGCCCTGGGCTGAACCGTTTCAAGAAGTTCAGCAGAACTGTTTCAGCCTGTCCTTTTAATGAGACTGGAGGAAAAACACAACCGTCTTTTCAGATGATAAGCAACTCTTAACACATCTGTGTGCAGGACCCAGGATGCAGGCTTCTGAGCACTTTCTCCCAGAACCATCAGAAACTGGACACAAAGTTCATTTTGGCATCGAAATGTGTCCACAGGACCACTTGTAGCATGGAGGAGTTGTGCTGGTACCTCTTCCAGTCCTGCCCAGGCTGGGTACCTGTCAGTAAAAGCCTCAGACAGTAGCGTGTGTACACAGTGAGGCTTCCTATCTTTGTGTGTTTTTATCAAAAGCAGCTAGTTACAATATGACTGTATCCGCGTGGTTTCCATCTATTGATTTCTCTGCAAAAAGCCAAAGCATTACTCCAGCTCAGCAGTTTACCTCCATGTTTACTTCAACAGAGTACACTTGGGTGGTCTCGCTGTGATGCTGCTTTATTGCAGTATCATTGTAGTCACAAACTGCCTGGTGTTGGGTCACTCCTCCTCAGCCCCACCATGAACATTTGGCACTTTCAAGTTGCCCAGGCCTTGGTTATCAACATACAACAATAATGCACGCATCCTATTACCACAAGGCTCATGCTTGTGTCATGGTGTTTGATGTGCAGTGGAAAGTCACCTACAAGAACTTAAACACCTGGTACAAGGAGCTGAGAGAATTCTGCCCAGAGATTCCTTGCAGCATGGTGGCCAACAAAATTGATGCAGATATGAATGTGACCCAGAAAAGCTTCAACTTTGCCCGGAAGTTCAGTTTGCCCTTTTACTTTGTGTCTGCTGCAGATGGCACCAACACTATGTTGGAGGCTCTTCAATGATGCCACCAAACTGGCAGTTGCTTACAAACAGAATTCTGGAGATTTCATGGATGAGGTCATGCGAGAACTGGAGAGCTTTGACCGGCAGAAGAAGAGTGAGAATTTGTCAGCTGAAGAGGAGAGCTGCCCTGAAGAGAAGCCCCCATCTGCCTAAGCCCCAGACCCTGAGTCTGTTTTGTCCATTGCTCTGGATTTCTGTGGCTAGTTAGAGCTGGCCTTCACTGAGGAACATGATTTTTCTTATGCCTTGAGAGCTCCAGTGATGGGCAGCTGGTCCTCTCCTCTTCTTGTGTGAGACTGACTGTGCACTTCCTTGGCTTGGCCCTACTGCCGCACATCACGGCCAAGGAACGGGCAAAAGGATCCACGTGGTTGCTAGTCACTGCACGCTGCTTCAAGGCAAGGCTTGCCAGGAGTGCTCAGCCTCTCCTGGACCTGCAGGGAAGGGCCCTGCCCCAATGCTTTAATGGTACCTACGGGAGAAAACAAACACTAAAGAACTTAGCATACATATAGTGGCATTGGAAGTTTAAGTTAATAAACTAGACAGTGACCTGTAGTGGCATATCCCATGCTGCTGACTGCCATGGGGTTCATGATTTCTGGCAAAAAGTGTGGCTGAGAGGCTGGTGCAATAATGTTTGAAACTGCCCTAGAAAGATTACTTATATCTATCAGAGTCTTAGCTGGATCTTGCAGCCACTGCCGAGAGAACATATACTGTTAAAAATGACCTAACTTTGAAATTTGAGTTATTTGGAAACGTGATTCAATCATGCTTTGGCAATCGAAAATTATATCTACTTTAAACGTAACTTTTTAAGAAATGATCATGTTGGAAAGTGCTCATATGTATGATGGATTACAGAGTACATCTAAAAGATTATTTAGTAGGCAAATATCAGCAGGCCAACCATTGCAATTTTAATTAATGGTAATTAACCAATCAAATGTATTTGTTTCAAACAGAATTGACGTAATACTCAGGTTAGCTACAGTTCCCAAAACCACACCACACTGAATCACAGGATCACTGAAAGGTCTAGCTAGGTCGGAAGGGATCTTGGGATCCTTGGTCATTGGGTCCAACCTGATGTAAAAGCAGGGCCTTAGATTTAGGCTGGACGGGCTGGGGTGTAGTGCTGCTGAAGTGGGGTTCGGGGTGACTGGTGGCCCGCAAGCTGAGGAGCTGGGCAGCAATGCCCCCTGCAGCCGTGAAGGCAAACAATGTCCCAGGTTGTGTCAGCAAGAGCACAACCAACACATCAAGGGATGCTGTTATTCTACTCTGTTTGGCTCTTGTTGGTCCAGTGTGGAGGGCTGAGCCCAGCTGTGGTCTTCTCCCATTCAAAAGAGGCTCTGAAAAATTGGAGAGGGTCTCCTGGAGGGCCACAGAGATGGTTAAATGTGGAGAACGTGCCCTAGGAAGCAAGACTGCAGGAACTGGATGTGTTCAGCCTGGAGAAGGCTCAACTGGATCCGATTGTGGTTTTCCATCACTGAAATGGGGAGTTATGGAGAAGGTGGAAGCATCTCCACAAGGATGACCTGTGACAGGACACAAAGGAACAGCCACAAGTCACTTGAGGGGACATACCAGCTGCTGGCGTGCCCCCCGGCATGCCAGGGTGCGAGTCTGCAGCAAAACCCCAAGATAACAAAGCAACATCAGTAGGTGTGCAGGAAATTCCTCCTGCTGTGAGGTGCCTTCCTTGGAAGAAATGAACCATCCCCTGTGCAGGTGAGGGGGTTTGTGCGG